GCACAGCCGGCGGCGACGCCATCTCTACCTGGTGCTGGATGACTGGAAGGAGGGGTACAGCCTGCACAAGCTCGACCTCAGCCATGTCTCCGGCGACGGCGGCGAGCACGAGCACAACCCCATCAACCCGCGGCGGCTCCCCGCGCCGCTCCTCCGCCTAGGTTTCCGGACGCTCGGCTCGTCGCCGCGCGTCGGTGCCCTGGGCAGCAAGATCGTCTTCATTGGTCAGCGCCACCCAGATCAGTTCACCAGCGCCGGAGACGACGACGACGACGGCGACGACGAACAGGAACGCGGTCTCACCCTCGTCGTCTACGACACGGCGACGGCGGCGGTGGACGTCTCGCACCATGTCCCCGACGATGTGCGCCTGGCATGCACCTGCGACGCCGTGGCGGCCGGGAACAGGCTCTACCTGCTGCTGCTGTCTGATCAGTCTCACTTTGAGCGCTGCGAGACGACCGCGCCGTTGGCATGCCCTACGTTGAGAAAGTGGAAGAGGTGGCCACCGGGAACAGGGTCTACTTGATGCTGCCTGATCAGTCCGAGCGCTCGCCGCCGCCGCCGCCGCCGGAGTCCGGCAGCCCAGACCTCGCCGTGGCCATGCGCTACCTCGAGAAGGTAGAGCAAGTGTACGACGACGAGGTGGAAACAGCGGACGACGACGGCGACGACGATGAGTACATGGACGCAGAGAAGAAGAAGCACGTCGTCGTAGCGTACAGCGAGAGGTTGACGGAGCGGTGGTCATGGGGGAGCACCTCTTCGCCGCCGCCACCGCCCTTCGGCGGCGGCAGGCGGCGCATCACGGGGTACGCGTTGCATCCAGACGGCCGCACCATCTTCGTCTCCGTGGCGAAGAGAACACCCGACCACGACGACGTCGGCGACCGTCCCGACGAGGAGGTCACCTTCTCCTACGACACCGAGCGCGCCGAGTGGGCGCGCCGCGGCGGCTGGCTCCTGCCGTTCGACGGCCAGGCCCACTACGACGCCGAGCTGGACGCGTGGGTCGGGGCGATCGGCTCCAGGGCCGGCCCTCGGCTCGTCGCCTGCGACGTCGTCCCGGCGGCCGCAGCCGGAGATCGCCGCCCGGCGCCGCCGCCACCAAGGTGGACGTTCTGCGAGCAGCCGCTGACGTTCCTCGGTGCGGAGAGCCATCAGAGCCTGGGCGATCCCAAGCTCCTCCCCATGGGGGGCGGCGCGTTCTGCGTCGTCGTCGAGAGCGCGCCGCGCGGCGCCGACTCGGTCGGCGACGGCGACAAGCTCCTGCTCCGCGTCGCCGTGTTCCGCGACAAGTACGGCAAGAACGGCGAGCTGTTCATGACGACGGCGGCGGGCGGGCGCGGATCGTGCCAGACGCACACCTACGTGCGGTCTCGCTATCTCGTGGATTTCCATGCGCCAGCGTTCTGGATGTGAGCAAGCGAATGAGTGAGCGATTCCTTGGCAGAGGCTGTATCTTGCAAATTTGCATGCGTTTCATGAATTTTTTTAGAAATAATATTTTTTAATAGAAAATTGTAAAAACTAGCTGGGTGGCCCGCTCAATTGCGCGGCTAGCACCCATACAAAATTATATATTTTTAATATGATTTTACTTAAAATTTATTAAATAGTTATCTCGTTGTCTTGAGACTTTAAAGACCAAACCTTATCATCCCCGTGTTTCTAATTTTATGATTTTTAAAAATCACATCAATTGCTATCCCTTACTTATGTCATATCCTTCTTTATTATCTGGCTCGATCTACATGGTTTTTATTCATTCTCTTTGGAAACCTTTAAAAATTGGATGTTATACTTTTTAGAGTTTATTGTCCTGATGGGTTTCGTTTTTATAATTTATAGAAGTCCCAACAAACGCTGTCATTATACTCCTCTGTGGCCTCTCCATTGCCTCTTTTCTTTATTGTCATTGATATTTTCAAAATAGAACATAATTATCGTTAGGGTTCATTTTTTTACTTTCTAGAAGTTCCGACAAAATGTCAGCGGTTTTGTTAGTGTACTCCTCTACAGCTTGCCCGCTGCCTCCCTTCTTTATTGTCATTGAGATTTTAAAATCAAACATGATTATCATTGGAGTTTATTTATTTTTTACTTTTTAGAAGCGCGAACCTTTTAAAATTGGACCTTATAGTTTTTATAATTTATTGTCTCGTTGGATTTCGTTTTTTTATAGTTTTTAGAAATCTCGTCAAACACTGTCACTATACTCCTCTACGACCCTTCCACCGCCTACTCTTTATTATCATTGGGATTCTAAAAATCGAACATACACATCTTTGGAATTTATTTTTTACTTTCTAGAAGTCCCACCAACAATTGGCGGCGCTGGCATTGTACTCCTGTACGACCCGCCCGCTGCCTCTCCTTTTTATTGTCATTAAGATTTTAAAAATCAAATATGATTATTATTAGGGTTTATTTTTTTACTTTCTATAACTCCCGCCAACTGCCTTGACCGGTTGCTTCACGACCTGTCCGTCATCCTTCCTTTTAATAGTCATTAGGATTCTATCTGGTGTTTTATTAATAGTTTTTAGATGTTCCATCAACCGCCGCCACTCTACTCCTTTATAGGCCTTTTACTTAATTAATCTCCTCGTGTGTTTGAGATGGTCTTTTCTTGCAATAGTTTTTATTTTTTATCACCAATTTAGTTATTTATAAAAATATTTATAAATTGTATTTCTAGTTGAAATCTTTTTTTTCTTTTTCTAATTTCAGATTTTATTTTATTTTTTATTTCGAATTTCAACTAATATCGTATTGTGTTCTTTTAATTTATTTTTTATTTTCAATTTCAGTCGTTTCAAAATTGTATTTCTACTTGAACTCTCTTTTTAGTTTATCCAATTTTGGATTTTATTTTATTTTTCATTCTGAATTTTAATTAATCTCGTATTAGGTTTTTATATGGATTCTATTTCAAAATTGTATTCCTGTTCGAACTATTTTTTTTATTTTTCTAAAAATTTTTGAATTTACTTTATTTTTTATTTCAAATTTTAATTAATCTTGTATTGGTTCTTATATGGACTCTTCTTCTAAAATTTCTTATTTTTAATTCCGAATTTCAGTTCTTTTAAAATTATATTCCTACTTGGACTCTCATTTTTTTCTCTGATTAATGTGGGAATTTCTAACCTCCACGGCGAAGGTAATGCCTCCTTTCAAAGCTGATTTAATAATATGTTTTTCTAATTTCTTGTTTTATTTTATTTTATTTTTATTTTAAATTTTAATTAAGAAACGGGGGTGATAGAATCATACACGTCTAATCATATTCAATGGTGTTATTCTGATTTGATTTCCACAGTCAAGTTGTGTCACTTTGCAATTGGAATTATCATGTTGCTGTTAAATCCATACACACGTCGATTCGTATCTGACTCGGTCTGCCATTGCAACCAATGTGTCCGTCTCTAATTCACTTTACGTAAACATACTATAATTTTTTTAAGTTTTCTATGGACTCTTATTATATCTCAGCCACTAAAATCTAAAGGGACCACAATCTAACGGTCGGTATTTTTTCTTTTTCTTCGATTAATGTGGGAATTTCTAGCCTCCACAGCGAACGTGGTGTCTTTTTTTCGAGCTATCTTAATAATATAATAATAGATAGAAGCTGATAAGCCAAAATCACAAGTTTAATATCCTGTTGAACAACCGAGCCTGTCGAACTATGGTTGTTCAACAGGGTAGTTGGTCCACTAAAAAAATAAAAAAGTACTTGAACAGTGTTGCGCAGTGTTGGGCAGGGGCCAATCGAACTTCCAATGTTCAATATGTCCCGCATGAACAGTGTTGTATAGTGATTGTTCTCTTTTTTAAAATTTTTTTATCCTATCGAATTGTGGTTGTTTGATATGTACCCCTATCGAACTATAGGTGCTAAATTTATGATTTTAGCTGATTAACTTCTATTTTTTATAATTTTTTATTAGAATAATATTATTTCTCTAAAGTTTCAGTTTCATGTTCTTAAGGGTTACTTCTTTCGTCTCAAAATAAAATAGCATATTTCATTCAGTACTAAGTTGCTTTATTTTAAAACGGACAAAGTAAGGAAGATAATCAATTAGTGGATGTTCATTCCCGACGTCAAGTAGATCGATCGGCGGTTTCTTCGACGGACTCTGAAGCGGAGCAAGGCATCGTCATTCATACGTACATATGTATTATTCTTGTCCATAACACAAAAGATACAAACACAGAGCAAGTCATATACTATATCTACTCTCTCCGTTTCACAATGTAAGTCATTCTAACATTTTTCATATTAATATTGATATTAATGAATCTAGACATATATATCTATCTAGATTCATTACCATCAATATAAATGTGTGAAATGCTAAAATGACTTACATTATGAAACGGATGAAGTACACAATAAACAAATACACGCTGACTATTTTTTGGTGAAAAATATGGCAATATAGCTACTCTCTAAACAAATTAAACGGCGACCACCGCACAAGACCTTGTTGGACCCACCCACCCAGCACTATACTACCAACGGCCATCTCCATCGCATGAAAACAACATAGCATCAGCAAAGAATCAATGATTGATTGATCGATCGATGGCACTCTCTATAGACTATAGACTATAGAGGGAAAAAATCTTCTCGATTTCTACTTACTCGTCATGCCATATAGAGAAAGAAAGGAACAAAGAAAGATATTTCTCCCTCTATTTCATATTATAATTTATTTGATTTTTTTATAATCAAACATTTTTAAATTTAATCAAGTTTATAGAAAATATAATATTATTTTCAACACAAAACAACATATTACCAAAATATATTTAATGTTAGATTTTTTTAGGGAATATTTAATGTTAGATTTAACTAAACTAATTTGATATTTTAAATGTTGCTACATTTTTTTTATAAACTTAACCAAATTTAATAAAGTTTGATTAGAAAAAATATCAAGTTGACTTATAATAGTAATCAGAGGAGTACCATACACGGGCACCGCTAGAGTGAGGCTCACCGCTCACACAACATCACGAAAGAAAGAATCGTGTTAGCCTGGTCGTTCTTTCGATTTGTTTACGTCCACATGTGCACAAGTTGGAACCTCGCTTTTGTTGTCCTAGATCTGGCACACACCAACCGATGTGTAGTGTAGCTCAACATTCGCAGCATCAGTGTGCGTGACAAATTTTCAGGAGCTAGGTGACATGGGCGACTTGGGCGGCGGCGGCGAGACGAAGGACGTCATCGACGTGGAGGCGGTGGTCGTGGGCGCCGGGATCGCCGGGCTCGCCACGGCGCTGGCGCTGCGGCGGGCGGGCTTTGCGGCGCGGGACGGCGGCGGTGGCGGTGGCGTCGTGGTGCTGGAGCGGCACGCCGAGCTGCGCGCCACGGGCGCCGCGCTCACCGTCTTCCCCAACGGCTGGTTCGCGCTCCGCGCGCTCGGCATCGCGCACAAGCTCACCCCTCGCTACCAACCCTACGAAACGTACGTATACCCAAGCGCGCGCACTTGAATCGATCGATCGCCACGATGGAAAACAAAAGAAAAAAGAAAAAGAATCGAATCGAATTGCTGCTGCTGCTGATGCTGATGAACGCGCGCAGATCCGTGGTGACCAACCTCGAGTCCGGAGCGACGCAGGTGTTTCGGTTTGGTGGGCACAAGAGCAGGTTTGAATTGATGCAAATTAAAACTTTTTTGAATTCGTGATTTGATCATTTGAACCGGTCGCGATTTGGCTCGACTCGACTGAAATTTTTGAAGGAGCGGCGAGGTGAGGGTGAGGCCGGTGCACCGGAGGGAGCTGCTGGAGGCGATGGCGGAGGAGCTGCCGCCGGGCACCATCCGGTTCTCGTCCAGGCTCGCCTCCATCGGCACCGAGCCCGCCGGCGGCGGCGGCGGCGGCGAGGAGCTCGCTGTCGTGGGGCTCGACGACGGCACGGTGATCCGGTCCAGGGTGCTGGTCGGGTGCGACGGCGTGCACTCGGCGGTGGCGCGGTGGCTGGGCATGGCGGAGCCGGCGAGCTCCGGCCGCTCCTGCGTCCGCGGCCTCGCCGTGTACCCCGGCGGCCACGGCGTGAGGAAGGAGCTCAGGCAGTTCCTCTCCCATGGCCTCAGGGCCGGCATGGTGCCCATCAGCGACACCGACATCTACTGGTTCGTCGTCAACAACACCGTCCCCGCAGGCAAGCCAGCCCAAATGCCTCGAATAAAAATTTGTTCAAATTTGATGATAAGTTTGTTGCAAATGTGCTTAATTATGAATTGGGAATTTAAGTTGTTGCAATTTTTTTAAGTGGAGAACTTTTAAATCTAACTATGCTTACAATATCATTTCATTGTAACTATACTATAAATATAATATAACTTTTATATAAGTATTTAAAAAATTGGATGTGTTCGGCTATGACAATTCAAACTGATTGTGACGTGTAACCAATTTCATTTGTCACAAACGGTTAAAACCAGCACGTCCGAACATAACCAATATATACAACTTTATACGTAAGTTATATAAAGATTATAATATATATAAATGTATGTCATTACATTATAGATGCACTGTTACCATACTATAATTATATTTTAAATTACATTTAACGTTTTCTACAGAAAAAACTTGAAACTGTTTTGTTAGTAATTTCTAATTTATTTTTTTTTTGCAGAGAGAGAAGCTGCCGGCGATCCGGAGAAGATCCTACGCGAGGTGACTGACAACCTGGGCCGCCACCTGCCGGAGGAGTTCCTGGACGTGGCCCGCCACTCGGACCCGGACAACCTCACGTGGGCCCCTCTGCTCTACCGGGCCCCGTGGGCCATCCTCACGGGCCGGGCCGCGCGCGGGCCCGTCACGGTGGCCGGCGACGCGTTCCACCCGATGACCCCCGACATGGCGCAGGGCGGGTGCGCCGCGCTGGAGGACGCCATCGTGCTCGCCCGCGCGCTGTCGTCTCGGTCGCCGTCGCCGTCGCCGGCCGACGGCGTGGCGGCGTACGTCGCGGAGCGCCGCGGCCGCGCCGCGTGGATCGTCGCCGGCGCGTACCTGTCGGGCTACGTCCAGCAGGGGAGCACCAGCGCCCCCGGCGTGCGCGCCGCCGCCGTCAAGCTGTTCCGCGACTGGATCTTCTACCGCTTCGTCTTCCCCTTGCTCGCCGACACCATGTGGTTCGACTGCGGCGACCTCGTCGCGCCGCCGCCGCGCGACGGCGGCGGCGAGGAGGAAGCAGCTGACTGCAAGAAGAGCCATGTACACTGAGAAAGAAACCAATGTACTATCAGTTGTACAGTCACTGCAGGTGGGACCGGACCACCTGTATCATCGTGACACCATCAGCAGGGTGATCGATCGATCGATGACATGTGTTTAATGGTTTGCTAATCGCAATAGTTACCATTTCGTTTCATTTTCAGATGTACAACGTGCTCAATAAGCTTCTTGTGTGTTTTTTGGAAGTGAGGTAGATGAGATGTAGATGTGATGTCATCATTTGCAGTGATCTACATCTGCAAGCTTTTTAAAAATCTGTTGGGGATAGCTTGTTTGTTTTTGAGATCAGCCACAAAGATAGATGCTCGTCCTCCTGTGCAAGCAAGAACAGGCGCAATGCATTTCCAATGTGGCAACCACTTGAAATACCAGAAAACAAATATATATATTAAAATTTCAGCATGGAATCCACTAGCTAAAGGTTGTTTGCAAAACCAGGGTATTACTAGTAGCCCATAGATTTCGCACATATATTTACTGCAGACTGCAGACTTCCCCCTGGGTTTCACAACAAAATTTGTCTCTTATTAACGCAATGTCTGTTGCCTTCAGTAGTAAGAATATATTCAGGGTTTTAATCCTGAAAAATGATCTGAACATCTGATACATCTTGATCTACCTGTTCTTCTCACGTGCCAATTAAACCTAGTACCTGATGAAAAGCGATCATCTGTCCCATACAATACATTGTCCAATTCTTTGGTCATTAGGCCAGCCTGTTCCTGAACAAACACGTTCTGAACACGAGACAATTGAATTGTACCACAAAGTACCTGAGCACGTACAGAAAATCAAAACTGGAAGGCCGTGTGTTGGTACAGTGCTACAAACCAAAGAGAAACCCAATCCGTTTCAGGCCAACTTGCACACCTGACGAAGCACCTATGTTCCTTGTCAGCTTTCTCTCTGGGATCACACCAGAAACCACCAAGAAATGCTTGCACACAATCTAAAGAACGGACACAGGAGAAGATAGTCAGATACACGTCGTTGGATCGACATGTAGACATGACCGGCGAGCCGTTGATTGATTGATTGATGTGGAGTGCAAGGATTGAATTGTCCATGATGGAGAAACAAAAAAAGAGAGAGAAAAAAACACGGCCTAAGGCTGGGGATCAGGAATGGAGATATTGGCTCCCTGATATCCAGGGGTGTCATCCGGGGAGGCAGCTAAGATTGTTCAGTTTTAGTTAGCTTAGCTAGCTAAGTTAGCAGTACAAGACAAAGCTTGAGATTTTTATCTGTCAGGGTCTAGGGGTTCTTGCGTATAAAGGCTTCAGGTGAGGTCCATTTTAAGCCAAGCCAAATGCCGCATCTGTGATAAGAAGAGGCGATTCAACAGTGCTTGTCCCAAAAAGATCAAGGAACTCCAAGAAAAGCAAACAGTGCTTGTCCCAAAAGATCAAGAAACTCGAAGAAATTCATGTGCCCATCACACCAAGGGTAAGATCAGTAGAGAGAAGAAGAAAAAAAAGACAGAATTACATTGAGCTTTTCGTCATCTGTTTATCTGTTCTTGTATTTGTGCTCATAATGCTGAGGATTTTGGTTGATTTGTATTGGAGCAGCCATGGAATCCATGAGCATTGAGGAGGAGTACATCAGCACGCTGCACACGCGATCCAACGCGCGGTTCTTCTCGAGGAGCAAGCAGCAGCTGTCCGGGGTGGAGATGGAGGCGGCGGCGGCGGCGGAGCAGCAGGACGCCGTCGTCGTCCCCGCGGAGTTGCAGCGGATGATGCACCGGAGGACGTCGTCGGAGATCGAGCTAGCGATGGCGGGCTACTTCGACGCCAGCGACGAGGCGTCGGAGATCTGCAGGCAGCTGCTGGCGAACATCAAGAACGCGCAGAGCAACTACCTGTCCATGGACAGCTTCCTCGCCACCATCGTCTCCGACAGCGTCGCCGCCGCGGCGACGACGGCGCCGCTCGCAGCCGTGCGGAGCAACCCGTTCAGCGACGCGGCGACGCGGAGCAGCTTCCGGCGGATCCACGACAGGTACTCGTCCATCCTCCGCGCCATCAAGCGCAGCCACGGGAAGGTGGCGAGGAAGCTTGAAGGTGGCGAGGGCCGTCCGGAAGGCCTCCCGGGCGTGCCTCGTCGTGGCGTGCGGCGCCGCGGCGGCGCCTCCGTCGCCGTGGCCGCGCACCTCCTGCTCTTCGGCCTCCTCGTCGGCCCCGCCGCCATGGCGCTCTGCCCCATGGCGCTGAAGCGGAAGGTGACGAACACGAACGCGGCGGCGGTAGCAAGGCCGGCGAGGCGGTGGTCCACGACGGGGTCGCTGCTGCGGCTGCAGGAGCAGCTCGACACGGCGGCCAAGGGGACGTACGTGCTGGGGCGCGACCTCGACACGGTGAGCCACCTGGTGGCGCGGCTCTCCGACGGCATCGAGCGGGAGAACGCCATGGCGAGGCGGTGCGCGGAGAGGGTGGCCGCCGACAACGTCGGCGCCGCCGCCGCCGCCGGCGGGAGGTTCTTCCCGGTGCAGGAGATGGCGAACGAGCTGAGGAGAAGCTGCTCGAGCTCGAGGAAGCTCGCGGAGGAGCTGGAGGAGCACGTGTGCCTATGCCTCGCCACCATCCATAGGGCTCGACTTCTCGTCATCAAAGAGATCTCCAAGCAAGCATGAACTGAAAATTAATTACTTGATACATGATTAATTACATCTAGGATTAATATAGTTTAATCATAGTGTACAAAATTTCATGTATAATTAGGAGTAGTTGATAGAGATGATTAATTACAGCTTGTACATAAATTGTTTTTTCTTCCTTATATTTAGTACTAACAGGATTCAGGGTAAGTGACATGGTTAGAAATAATTTTGAGAAGATTTCTTAAGATTGAGGGTCTATACAAAGATCACAGAGTTTTGGTCTCATTGGCCATGCCCATGACTCACTAATTAACATTCTTTCGAAATATTAGCAGATCATACATCATTTTTTCTTTATGAAACGAATTGAGACATATGACCACACACTCAAGCTGCTTAATCACAAATATCAGACACCTCCTGTGTTCGCTCCTTCGGGTTGGGAACCCAAGCTTCTCCACAACAAAACAGAGCGGTACATTAACATGTAACATGTGATTAATTAAGTATTTACTATTTTTTTAAAAAATGGATCAATATGATTTTTAAGCAACTTTCGTATAGGATTTCTTTTTACAAAAAAGGCATCGTTTAGCAGTTTGAAAAGCGTGCGCGTGGAAAAGGAGAGTAGGGAGTTAAGAATCAGCTCTTCCAAACAGAGCATATTGCAGTGGCATAATTCTGATTGGCACATCAAATTTAATGAGAAATTAGCCATATATTATTCTATCAATCCTTGACCCAGAAACTTGGGCTTGTGGGTTGCACTTGGGTCCTTCTACAGATTTTGTTGCTTGCCGGAAATTTTTGTTTTTCTTTTACGCGATTAGATTTCCGCTCTATTAAATAGATCAGATATGTATCAACTAAAAGTGTACACGCGAATACATCACTCTGGCACGCGCTTAAAGGGGCGGAGTCAAATGACAAATATCTAGTCTCATCGTAATCCTATTTATAAGCACATCCAAGTGTAAAATGAGCGTAACTCAATTGGTTCATTTTCTTGTGGTGGAACCAACCTATTTGGTTCAGTTTCTCGTGGTGGAACCAATCCATCTGTATTAATGGATAGAGAGTATTTAAAGTCGTGTGTCTGCATGTATATTGGCGAGATATAGTTATGACTATGTGGGCCTACATATTAGCGATCATATCTCTTTGACTGTAAGTTAGAGGATTTCAATATCTCAATTAGCACTTCTCTTTGTTACAATGCAAAGTTATAGATCGGAGAAGTACTCTTTTTTTTATGCCTTATTGTTTCTTACATGTCATTATATATATATATATATATATATATATATAACGTATCCTATGCACACAGGCCCTCGCGTGTACACACCGTGTACACCAACTAAAAATTATCACAAAAAATTTTAGGAAAATTCATACATGTACTTTCAATAGTATTACATCTACGTGCAAAGTCGCATCTTCAAATTCATTCTACATAGAGAATAACAAAAAAGATAAAATTCTGACAAAATTACAACCTTAAAGCTGTCAGATTTTTTGTTTTTTTTGTTACGGCTAAAATATAATGAATTTGACGTTAAAATTTTAACCCTAGGTGTAATACAATTGAAAGTATGGGTATGATTTTTTCTAGATTTTTTGGTGACATTTTTTAGTTGGTGTACACGTGTGTACACGTGAGGGCCTGTGTGCATAGGATATGTTGCCATATATATATATATATATATATATATATATATATATATATATATATATATATATATATATTAAAATTGTTTAGTGCTCCATGGTGCCCATGCTCCAAAATCATCCACCGTTCCATCCGTGCAAATAAAAACTGAGTATTAATCAAATTAGCGGGTTTAACCCGATAAGAAATATTTGTATCAGGTTATCTCGTACCTTTCCATTTTTTCATTTGCATGCATGCATTTCCAAATGAATTACGGATTTTGAATGTGATTGTATATAATTACGTTGGATTGATTGCTTTCCATGTATATGAATTTAGACGTTTCCTTTTTATATGCATATATATATACCATCTGAATGTATTCTAAATTTTACAATTCAGATTAGTGCTCAGGTGCGTACGTCCTGCCGTCGCAGCCGTGATGATGCAAGCTTCGTTGCCATGTCGTACGCCGCCGCCGGCGGTTGCCCGCGAGGTTAGTCGCGGCCGCTGCTTGCATCTGTGAGCTTCGTTTCCGGCCCAAGCCATCCGCAAGCTTCGTCGCCGCGATGTCATCATGCGTCGTCCTCGTCCATGAAGTTCGTCGTCACCGTTGCCGGTTGTCCGTGAGGTACGTTCGTTGCACCACCGGCAGTCACTGGCATGGTTAATGGGTAATTTGTTTCAATCTATTCTTAATTATATGCTTACGCGTAAGTTCTACCATTTTCGAGGTTGAGTGTAAGCAATTTCTCTTGGTGGTGAAGACCTCAGGATGAGAGTTCCTCGTTGATCCTCCTACTGATCAATTTGAAGATCACACAATCACGGCAAAATTGCTCATCAAAATCCCAAGAACATGGCTGCTTCATAGCAGCTATATTACGTATAAACAGACCAGAGCAACCCAGTAATAACCGAAAGCTGCATCTCGGAGGGTATACAAAGAAATGCTAGCCATCAGAGAACTAATCACCACTTGTGGAGTTTGATATTTTTGTGTTACAGTGTAATAATCAGTGACATCTAGCATGAAACAGTGTTAATTTGCTATACTTTAATTAGCGCCCCATTTTTGTTATTTCCGTATCCAATCCGAATAATATATTTGTATGGGTGTATTACCGATGGGATACCAGAAATTAATTAAAAATGTTGATTAGTCAATGTGTCATTGGATCGTATTCTCTAAATCTCCAGCATAATTACTGATTAAGTCAGAAGGAACAGCAAATACCCAACCACACACAAGATGGACATAATCCGGATCAAATTCTTTAGATATATCCAATCGGTTTTGCTAATTTGCACGTGTGGACATATCAGAATTAATTTGGAGTTAGGGTGCCATTCACTTAGAAACATTTAGAAAAATTCAACCAAAGTTAGAACTCTCAGCTCAAATTTTAAAACTTTTAACTCCCATTTGGAAACAACTCAACAATACATCTAAGTATTTGTAGAAAATTGTTGAGTACTAATAATTTTCATGGTTGCGGTATATTTAGCTTGTGCGAAGTACCGACGATATGATTGTATGAGCATCACCCGTAAAATTAGTAAGCATTTCATACTTTAATTTAATTAAAATTAATAAGTATATTTAACACATAATGATACTACCTACCTTGTGCTAGCTCACATCGCTATATAACTAGCGGCGGAGGTAGATTTCGAACAAGTTGTGTGGCCGCCCTTGGCTCTGTCCCCTGGTGCCTCCACTACCAAACAACAAAAAAATGTTTGATTACGATAAAACTAGTTATCCGAGCTCGATGGTGTTGCTGACTTTAGCTCTAAATACAACTTATACTAGATATCTTTCTTGTTTAAAAAAGTATGGTAGATCGAGGATATGAGTATTGGGTACCCATACGGCCTGTATATCGGAGTAAACATAGGTGGTGTTCTAGATCCATTTATTATGTAATAGAGTATAACTTGATTATCATGTTACCTTATATCTTAAGGGATATAAGGCAGAGTATAGAGCCCGACCCTGGTATTACCATGTAATAGATTAAATGGGGTATGTACCTAATTTATTAAAAAAATTAAATAGAGTATATAGCTAATCTAAATAGGCATAATCAATTTCAACGGGTTTTAAAAAAATAAATCTGGTATATACCTAATTTTGGACCATAAAAAGTTAAATTAGGCATATACTCAGCTTAAACGAGTATGCAAAATTAAATAGGTTTATATCCAATTTAGTCAAGTATGAAAAAATTNGTAATGNCNCCCNATTTNNGNNGCNANANGCCCNTTTAAAACTNGGGATANANACCNNTTTNNTATGTATATATATATATATATATATATATATATATATATATATATATATATATATATATATATATATATATATATATAAAAAAAAATAGCGAGGGAAGATACTCGATAGCGGGGGAGTCGTGAGACCCCCCTTTCGTGAGTTCGGCCGGGGCGGAGGCTCGCCTCTCGGAAATCACTCGCTCATCCCTAAGATTACCGGCAAGCTTGCACGCAGTCAGATTATACAGGTTCGGGCCGCTATGGAGCGTAACACCCTACTCCTGTGTTTAGGATTATGGATGAGTTTACAAAGGTTTCTTCACCCCAGAGAGCGCACTCGCTTCCTCTCTTCTGGAGTTCAGGTTTTCTAGGGGTCGTCCCCTTCATCTCAGTGGGCAGGGTCCTCCTTTTATAGCTCAAGGGGATACCACATGCGCCGCCTCTACCTACCCTCCATCGGAGGGGGATCCCATTCCACTTTTCCTGGGCTTTAAACCGTGTCTTCTCCCGGAAGCTAAGCAACAACCGGTTCTTGAGTGGAACCCGGAGCCGCCCCCCGCCTGACACGGGGGATAGCCCTGTCATTCCCTCATAAATGAACGATGACTTGCGACAGCCCTTCCTCGAGTGACGCTCGGATGTGACGGGTCATACCCACCCCCACTCCGCCGGGTACAAGGGCGACGTGAGGACATGATTGCCCTATCCATCGGATGTGACGGTGACAGGCCGGTCACAGACCGGTCACATCCGTTGGACAGAGGTTAGCTAGGCGTGCCACACGTCTGCCCTTACCGCATTAAATGTGGTGAGGGACAGTTGGGGCGTCGCACATTTATGGCTGTTCAGCCTGTGCTCCCCTCTCGCTCTCTCCCTCCGCCGCGTGGCAGCCGGGTGAGGGCCTCAGGGCGACGGCGGGGATAGCCCGAGGGGGTGACGCATNCCCGAGCCCCCCCCCCCCCCCGGGCTTCACGANTTGNGNGACGGGNGAGTGGGGCTAACTTGCAGAGNACGTGGCCGGGGGAAAGTAATTCCCCTCTACTTCACATACCCCCGGGTCCATATCTCCGACATATATATATATATATATATATATATATATATATATATATATATATATATATATATATATTCAACTTGNTCTCATAAACCTGTTCTAAAAACATGAATATTTGCTTCTATATTTTGAACTTAGGTATTTTAATACCTAAGGATACATCACATACACGGTATTTTTTTTGTCATAAACTGAAAACATAATAAACACAAATTTTGTTCACGTCCAGTGATTTTTTTCCCTTTCATACCCAATATTTGGGCATATGCCACGGGGTTTTTTGGTGTTCATACCCAATATTTAGGTACATGTTGAACAAGTTTACTCGCAAATTGGGCACATACCCAATTTTTTTTTCATGTATTTACGTGCAAATTGGGTTCATACCCAAATTCACTCTGGCCCTCATTAGTTAACATGTGATATATCATGAGTATGGAAATCCAAATTTAACATTAGAAAAAATAAATTAACAATATGATTATGAATAAAACACATACTAGTTAGGTTAATTTATTCTATTAGTTTCAACTTGTATATATCGAAATCGAATTTGTATGTTTGTGAACTAATATATCGTATATTGATCTATGTTTGTTAACTTTTTTAAAAGAAAAATGTAACTATTTGATGACAATAAACAAGGAGATATCTCTTATAGTGAAGGGAAAAAGTATTTCCCATACATAGTAGTAGAATTTTAAAAAAAAGGGAGCTCCAGCCTCCACCTAAAATGTGAGCGAAGCTTGGTGGAGCGCTCTCACAAAATAAACTAGAGATGTGGAGTTGGGTTTAGGTATAGCTCCACAACTCCACTCTAGACTCAACTTCTAGAGCTAAAATTAGGAGTTGGAGCTCTATCAAACATTAAAATTGGAAGTTCGGTTGAAATTGGAACGATGTGATGGAAAAGTTGGAAGTTTATGTGTGTAGAAAAGTTTTGATGTAATGAAAAAGTTAAAAGTTTGAAGAAAAAATTTGGAACTAAACTCGGCCATACCCAAAATATGAAATACATCAAATACGTACGTCACTACTCACTAGTCATGAAGTCAAGGTGTACACAACTACACAAGCATGGCAGACCATGGACTTAATTACACAGAGGCACAGAGCAACAGATAGCTTTATTGGTATAGTACACACTATACGCTTATACGTACATCCATACCATATACGAGGTGTACACATACTGAGCCCATACGTACAAAAACCCCGGCTCTTATTCAGCTGCACACGCCCATGGCCACACCTTACGCGTGCGCGCGGACGCCGGCCATGGCGCCGCCGCCGCCGCATGCATGGCGCGATCGATCGATGGATCATCAGCCGAAGAGGTGGTGCTTCTTCTTCCCCTCGCCGCCGCGGGCGCCGGAGCCGGACTCCTCCTCCGCCTCCTCCTCGGCGTCCTTCGCCGCCTGCTTGGCCTCCTTCTTGTCGTGGTGCTCGTGGAACGCGAACCCGCCGCTCCCCAGCGCCGCCGCCGCCGCCACGCCCTCCTCGATCCTGTGCCGCTGCGCGTTCTCCGGGTCCTTCTTCGCCTGGTGCCTCTCGTACTGCACGCATGGTCATCTATCGTCGTCAATGGCGCGACCGAGTTTAATTTGTTTGAGGAAATTGATCGAGGTTCAAGAACGTACCATGGCGAAGNGCCGGCGGANGGGCCCCACCTCGCGAGGCGCTCCTTGTTCTTGTGCTCCTTCTCCTCCTTCCTGTACTTCTCCGGGCGCCCGGGACGACAACCCGTCGACGTACTCCTCGTCGGCTTCGGCGCCGCNCCGCCGCTGTACTCGTCGCGCCGGACTTGTTGCGGCCGTACTTCTGTTAGCCCCTGACCTGTTGTTGNAGCCGCTGTCGGAAGCGCGCGGTCCGGACTTGTTGACCCGCCGCCGCCGTNCGCCGTAAGTCGTCGCGCGCCGCCGNGACTTTGTGAAGCGTTTCGAAGCGTCGTNCACCGGCTTTTGAGCACGACCGCTCCGGCCGGCGGCGTACTCGTCGGCGCCGCCGGAGCTGGACCTGTTGTAGCCGCCGCTCTCGTAGTCGTCGCCGGCGCCGGCGCCGGACCTGCCGTAGCCGCCGCGGCCGTACTCGTCAGCCATCACGACGATCGATCGAGAAAGAATTAAACTTGTCACGAAAAAAGAAGTTCACACAGCTTGTTTAATGTTTATCGAGTTCGCTGCACACTTTGCACCGTGTTTCTATGAACACAGCAACGTGAAGTATTTATAGCAGGGAGCAAGCTGATCAAAGCTAATTATTGTTTTGTAGTATATGCTTATGCTTATAAACTAAATTTGATATTTTAAAACTTAACTTTAAGTTAATTTAGTACTCTCTTCGTCTCTAAACATGCTAATATAATGAATCTAGATATAGAGTCTGTCTGGATTCATTGTACTAGGATATGTCACATCCAACCAAAATCACTTATATTTAGGGATGAAGGGAGTAGTTCTTTTACCACAGTTTATTTTACAACATTTTTTAATAAATTATTTTAAATTTTTAATAAGTAGCTCGAATAAGTATAAGTGGAACGATGATGCAAATATGGCTTCACAGGTAGCGTTGGGTTATTGTGGCTAATATGGTGTACACGTAAGGTTGAAATCAAATTACTGGCAATTAATCAGTCTAACACCTTGATATTTTTGCAAACAGGAATTAGATATAGTTCTTAGTTGTATGTCGGTGTCATTTGGTTGGACCACAAATAATATTATTGGATGGGGTTTATTCTCAGCATCAAGGAGATTACTTGCTCTTGATGCCATGAGGCCACAAAGTGTGGGACAGAGTAGAACAAAATCTGCATACATAATGTTGAGTGAGTCAGGGAATATTGTTTTCTACGACAAAATCAGGCATTTCACACGACTGATTTGAGCCAATGAACATTCGCAACCAGATGCTGAGATGACAGATATACTACTCTACCAGTGTGTTAGTGGAGATATTTGTTCAGAGTTAGCTTAATTGGCTTCCTTGGCAACATGCATGATCGCATCGGATCATGGATTACAGTAATCTCTCTCTATATATCCAAGGAAACAGTTGCATATATTATATATAGAAGTGCAAAGATGGGTAATTAGGTGATGGCCATGCATCCTATTCAACGCAATTTTGCCGTCTCTGCAGAGGAGATAAATAGACTTTTTTTTTTCACCACTGTTAAAGATTGAGCACATTCTTCAGGACGTGCAGAGTACTCTGATGAGACCGACTTCCTCTCTCAAGACTCACCCCTCTGTTTTTTTTTAAAAAAAAAATCACACACACACACACTACGGGAAAAATTGGAACCATACCTATAATTTTGCAAAATTTAAGATATGCCATCCTGACCCACATGTCATTGACTCATGTGGGTCCTACATGTCATTGAGATACCGATGGCATATCTCAAACTTTGCAAAATTACAATGGCATGGTTCCAAATTGGATGCAACACTCATATAAACACACACACTCATTCCTATAAATACATACATAAGCACTTTCGAATGCTAGGTCGGCATATATATATCTTAAGTTTTATAAAGTCATGATAGATGTCTTACTGATAACGGGTACATCATTTACTATTAAAGAATAATTAGCCGTACTATATTCCCTACCACAACACCTCATCATGAAAAAAAAAATCTTTATACTTCACAGTGCTTGATATATAGGTGATGAAAAGGTTTAATTTACTGGTACTTCCTACAGAACCCTGCATGAATCCCTACCGGTAAATATGCAATTATATACTCCTTCTGCACAATTTTTTTACCCTGTTGCAGATGTTCAGTGGCTATTGGTCCGTGACCATAAAGTGATCAAACAAAGTTACACAAATTTGCTTCTCTAGTTTCCAGTTTAGCTGATAGTAAGAGCTACAAAGCAAGTCACATTCTCATATCACGTATTCATGCACGTTAGCCTACAAGTCATCGCCGCAGTTGCTAGCTTATTACCAAAGTTTACCTATCAGCATAAAATCTGTGATTAGTCGACCACGCCCCTTAAGGAGATATAATCCTTCTTCGAACAATGATTTCAGAACCTTATACACGTTAGCCGTACATGTGTATTCCTCAAATAACCGAAGCCAGGCATGGATATATCCCCGGAAATAAGGGAAAATATATGGTGAAAATTACACACACACACACACACACACACACACACACACACATATATATATATATATATATATATATATATATATATATATTGGAAACCTGAAAGTTATTATTGGCTAAAAAATAGTCGTATGAAATTTGTTCACATCATCACGAGTTAAAATTTTATTCGCAGATTAAATTATTTATGAGTAAAAAAATTACTGGGAAGATCGAACCCAGGATCTAAGTAAATCCTGGAAAATTCGCTCCTATAGGGAAGTCGAACCCAGAACCTAAGGTGCTACTGAGGCTTTATCCAGGACCTAAGCTAGGTGCTACTGAGGCTCTTGTAACCATGCCTTTCGTGAGATGTCAATTTTTGATTCAATGATAGTTTCCAAGTTTTCATTAGATTTGCGAAATCACGTGTTTCCACAATCTCTACTTTAATTGGTCATTTCTATCCAGTTAAAGTTTGCATTAACGCAAGCAGTTGGCCGTTAACCTTTGCGAAATCAACAAAGCAATATCAATCAATCAATCAATCAATCAAGTGTGTTGGATCCGTATAGGTCACATGTGTATATAATCTCGCGACGTGACATGTTGTCGGTAAAAATCCCTACGTACGTCGTCGATGATGCTAGCTCGCCGTCCAAACGAACGAACGCCGCGTCGCCGACGCCGACGCGGCGACGCCGAGCATGAAAACGCGCCCCGTCAGCATGCTGGCTGCTGGCACCTGGAGCGCCGAGAGCCTCACGACGAGCCGCCCAAACTCGTCCCAAATTAAACTTGGCGCGGATGCTTGCATGGTGGATCGCTCGGCACGCGGCCGGTGCGCGCTGCCTGCATGCAGGCCAGCAAAGCGCCAAGTCAGCAGGATTTCTCTCGGATCGATCTCTTCGCTTGCGATCGAGTGTATCACAACAAAATCTGCATGATATACTACTGGCTACCTCGATCGATCTCAAGTGTCAACGTTAAATTATTCTGTCTTTCGTTTTAAAAAAAAGGAACTGCTTAATTTTGCAAAGAAGTGATTAACCTCGCGATGCGTTCGTTTGTACTGAAGGTGAAGTTAGCACACGGGAAATAAGAAAGCTATTAGCGTATGATTAATTAATTTTTTAGTTATTACAAACTTTAAAAAATGAATTTATCTGATATTTTAGAGCAATTTATATATAGAAAGTTTTCACATGAAATACACCATTTAACAGTTTGAAAAACGTACTAATAGAAAAATCGAGATAGAACATGTATCCGGTTAAATCAGAAAAGAACGAGATCATAGATTCTGATCTACCTTTTTCTTCTTCTCCTTCTTATTCTTTTAATCAGAAATGGATTTATTTGATTTTTTTGAACGAAAATTATTTGATGTTCTACCTTTTCTTCTCTTTTTAATTTTTCAAAGGCAAAAGATCTTTGCCCGCGTAAAGTTGACTTATGAGTCATGACCAGATAAGTGGTCAACCCGTGAAACCACTTATGAGTTAAATTAATAGGTAACCCCATTAATTTTATTTATAAGTGGGTTCGTGGCTCGGCTCACTTGCATTCCTAACAGAGATGAGCAGTAGGATTGGGATTGGAGGAGATAAGCCCGATCACTTCCCTCAATCTCAAATCAAGCCGGGGGCCATACGCGTGCGCGACGAAGTGGACGGCGCGAGAGTGGAGCAGCTAGCGAGACGCCCTGTCGGCCAAGGCAAGCTGCGCGCCTACGTCGCGGTCTCGCGGACAGAGCAGCGTCGGTGTCGGCAAAGCGCCCGGATCGAGCAGCTAGCATATCCCTGCGTATTCATTCATCCCTTCCGCGCGCGGGCTGCCCGCCGGNCGCCACGGNTAGCTACTGATCTGATCGGACAGCCCACGACGGTGACCGNCTATCTTTAAACAAGGCATTTTTTTTTTTGCAAAAGTTTCGGTGGTAAAAGATATTTGCTAGTTGTTGTTTAGATGCACGGTAAAATTTTGCCATTTTACTAGTAAAGACAGAGAGAGCACGGCTCCCAATGCATTTTTTGGCAAAATTTGCTACTTTAGACTCCTAAATGACAAATGCCAAATTAATAACTTTTCCTACTAGTGATTAGATCCATTTTGGCAAAAAGTGCTTCGAAACAGCAAAACTTTTACCATTTGGAGGAACTAAACAAGGCCTTAGAGGAAGAGATATCGCTCACAAATATCTTTTTTTTTTAAAAAAAAGAAGTTATGAGTGTGTTGGGATTGAATATAGAATCTCGGGGTTAAAACCACACATCTCTTCTTACTAGTTACCACTGCACTACCAAGTGCATCTCACCATACTGTCTTTGACCAACGTGTAAAAATCATACATGTATGTTGTTGTGCTTCAAATAATTGGAGCGGTTTGAACGGAACAGTATGTGAGAGCGAGACATACTGTATGGATGGGATGGGACCATCCAGGTTTTGTTGGATATAGTGATCTGATTTCTTTTTTTGTTTGTATGAATAGGATGATCTGATTTGTTATTTGGTTGGAGAGATATACATGGATGGGACAAGTTACAACTCAGTGGGACCCATTTGTGATATATATTTATTTTATCAAAATAGAACCATATGAGATCTTATCTTAAATGTTTAATTGTAATAAATAAAATGGTGTAGATAAATAGTTTAGAAGAAATAAATCATTTGAAGCTGCCAAAAAAAATTAAACCCACCATAGCCCATTAGAATATGCCACATCACCCTGACCCAAAACATGAATGGCTCCATCGGACTAAATCGACCGAATCCACTCATCTAGTGTATTATGAAAATATTCATTTAGTATATTGAGGGAATATTCTCTTGGTAACCCATATATGCCTCGCTCGCTCACAAATTAGACGCATAAAAAATCTAGGTGGCTATCTTACTGCCTTCTGAAGGCCTAAAACTCCTAATAATCTGGATAAATATGAATTATCGATACCCTCAGTGGCAGATCTAAACACACCTAATAATGGTCTGTATATGTATATGTGTACGTATTACCTTAAAACAGGGATTGCTTATACGCGTAGCAACAGTAATCAGATCGATGCCAGTGTTCCGTGTTTCACAACTATTCGCTTGCTTGATACTACTGCATATATCACGTTTTATTCATGTGCAAACATAGCAGAGTAGTATTACATTTTCGTTCAGGTACATACACATACAGAGCATATTACGCACATCACACATCCTCTGAGATGTGTGATCAACCTTGCATATCAGAGACAAACTGATCAACCCATCCTGTAAATAAGAGGGAATACATACGAAATCCTTTTTAGCAAGGACCAACTGTATTCGAGCATATTTAGTACTTCAGCATCAAGAGTACCCTGATTCGCTTTCCTGATAAGCGATAATTATCTAGTAGTCGTCAGAACTGGTCTTGCCTCTTCCGGTTGCGTACTCATCAGTGCTCGACTTGTTGTAGCCACCAGTGTAGTCACCGGCGTCAGACTTGTCGTAGCCACCACCGCTGCCATAGTCGCCGGTGCCGGACTTGTTGTAGCCGCTCTCATAGTTGTCCGTGCTTGATTTGTTGTAGCCGCCGCCGCTGCCATATTCACCGGTGCCGGACTTGTTGTAGCCACTCTCAGAGTTGTCTGTGCTTGATTTGTTGTAGCCACTGCCACCATATCCATCAGTGTTGGAGGCGTTCTTACCACTGTCGTAGTCGCCGGTGCTCGGCTTGCTGTAGCCGCTTCCGCCATAGCCATCATCGTTGCTGCTTGACTTCTTGTAGCCACCATCATAGTCGTCTGAGCTTGATTTCTTGTATTCGTCACCACGACCATAGTCGCCGGTGCTGGAGTCCTTGTAATCGCCAGACACGACATAGTCGACGGTGCTGGAGTCCTTGTACTCGCTGCCATAGTCGCCAGCGCTGGACTAGTTGTAGCCACCACCACTGCCACTGTAGTCATTGTTGCCGGATTTGTTGTAGCCGCCGCTCCCGCTGTAGTTGTCAGTGCCGGATTTGCTGTAGCCACCGCTGCTGCTGTAGTCGTCGGCGCCAGATTTGTTGTAGCCGCCGCCACCACTGTAGTCATCTGTGCCGGATTTGTTGAAGCCGCCAGTTAAGTCGTCGGTGTTGGACTTGTTGTAGCTACCAGTGCTGCCATATTCATCAGTGTTGGTGTTCTTGTAGCCACTCTCATTGTCGTCGTTGCCGGACTCGTTGAAGAGGCCAGTGTCACGACCGTAGTCGTCACCGCTGCGGCCATAATCTCCAGTGTTGGTCTTGTTGTAGCCACCTTCCTCGTCATCAGCACCAGACCTTCTGTAGCTGCTGCGATCATACTCATCTGCCATTCTAAAATGAAAAGAGAGCACACAAAAATCAGGGAGATGCTTAGTTGCACTATGATTTGCAAGAGGTGCAGTAGGAGTTATTTATAGCAGTAGCTAGGTACATTTATGCATTTTGAGAAATAAATTGTTGTATCCGATCAGAGCTCCAGCAATCAGAATTACAGATGGCCATATAATATGGTGCACAATCAATAACTGAAAGCAGTTTGTTTGTAGTCTAGGTGAGGATTTTTTTTTTGTGATATTTGGAAGCAAGGGGCAAATGGGCAAATTGGACTTGGAGCAATTCACTGACCACAAAAATACATGCTTCAATACAGAAAATTTTCAAATGTGCCACAAATTATTTTAGTCGATGTAAACACACCGGAAAACCACTTCTCCTGTCCACATGTTCGAAGTGATTTTTCCCATATTTGTATGTGGGTCCTATATTCGTTAATTGATCATTAGGCACGGACATTACCTGCAAAGCAATGGATAATCACATCTTGCACAAGTGGATGCAGAAATTGCCTAAGCAGAGCAAGGGAAAAAAAGAAAAGGCACTACATGCTTTGATCAGGCAAACGCCGCAAACCTCATCAAGCTTGTATAGTTTCATTATACTAAATGGAAAATTAGCTCACATGTCTCAAAATCATGACATCTGGACAATACAGGAAATTTTTATTTTGCAAACTACACCCGTTTATGCACTCAAGTAGTTCACTGCAAAAGCTTAAACCGTAAAGAAAAGGAAGAACCCTACACATTACAAATATTTCAACGCAGTCCAACCAGACAACTCCTACTTTCAAGTTGCATGCTTGCATGTACACGGCACATCACAGACAATGCCAAGCAAGTTGTGATATCCACGAACATACGAGACATTTTAACACACATAAGAGAAATTTTAGATTTTATCAGCACCACTAGCTTAAAGTAGACAGATCCGTGCCGGGAAAAGACAAACCGGCCCATTAATGGAGACAGTTTAACTCACAAGCTGGCCTATTAATGGAGACAGTTTAACTCCCCACTCATTATGTCAGTAGAAGAAACATTACGGGGGAAGGAAAATGCGAAAGCATATTCCAACAATTATTTGTCACCAGAATCAGCAATATTGTTTGGCAAATTATGGCATTATCACTAATTCAACTTGCTATCACAGTGTCATAGTGTCATCTGTTTATCAGCAACTGTAGTTGTTTCTTTTGTGGTTGCAGGAGACTGTAGTTGAATCTAAATGAGTGGCTAGCTAAAGCTATTAGCTAAAACATGCACCTCAGTAATATTTTGAATATTGCTGCTGAAAAGTATTTCTTGCAGTTCTATAATTGAGCCACAAGTTACCTTCACTTACTCGGAAGAAGTTAATTGATGTAGGAATGAGCAACTAACAAACACAAAATAATTGCTGCAGGCTTGCAGCTGCATCAAACTGTGGTCATATGGATACTAGAATGAACTGCAACTGATAACCATTCATTTTGCTTACGCACTTGGCAAAATGAAGATAATATTCCTGCATATATGGTTGAAATTGGCTAAAAGTTAACTTATAAAGTAATAATACGGAAGAAGGAAAATTCTATTGGTCACACCAAGATTGAAAGGCAGAAAAGAAAAGTAAATAAAGAGAACACACCACATGACTCAACAGAAATCCATGATTGCTGTCCATTTGTAAGGATCTGAAGCTGTTACAAGTCAACGTCGCTTCCAATAACTTCAGAGAGGGTAATTTCGTCCAATTATATTGAATAAGACACTCTGTTTTATGCATAGCAAGCAGCTGTCACATTGTCTTCCAAGTCCAAAACAATTATTGTTATCACTTGAAGAGCATCTCAGCCTGTCAGGAGTGTTTCTTATAAGAACAATTTTTATGCCTTGAAAAAGTAGCGCTATTGTTCTTTATTTCCCTTAAAAATATTCATTTGTTTTTCTCAATTAAATACTGCAAATATCTTGAATTATTGCTAGATGGAATTATTCTTCCATGAGCTGCCGACAAGATGCAGATTGCAACCAAGGAATTGAGAGTATATTCCAATCACAAATTGACTCTTTCTAAAGCAACGAAGAATTTAGCTTTGTTTTGGACCTTTATTCTTGAGTAAACTTTTGCACCATTATTTAAATCGAAGATCTTCACAGCCCAATCTGATGATGATTCTTCCAATCTTCCAAGAGTAACAAACAAGAAAGATTTTGATCCTGACCAGAAAAAAAGTTATAATAGAAAAGGCACCATTTGATATGTACTGTGATTAATTTCAGATATAGAGGTTTGGAAAACCTTACACCTCGGTGATTCCTTTATGGGATAGGTGTTGTAACTTTAAACTCATCTTCTGCCTGAAATGTTTGGACAGAGATCCTCAAATCCATTTTAACAACAATTCAAGACAATTCTGTTACAGCGCCACATAAAAATCGTAAGTGAACCAAAACCGCGGAAGCATTGCACAGACTGTTCCCACAAACTGATTTTGTCACTGTTAATCTATAGTAGCTTTGTTAATCACAATAAAACAGAAAACGTTAATAGCATCCATGTAACTCCCCCTTGACAAAAATTGCTGATAAGTTCTGCTTGTAAAAGAAACTATCAGTTCAGTCCTACAACAATCTTAAAAGTAAGCTGCTCACCTTGATAAAGACAATAGAGCACATCAAACATCAGCTCCAGAGATATATCACAGAGAGATCATTGTACATGATTGATACATTCAAGCAGATCTTTAGCACGATTTGCCAAATAATGTTCTGGACCATAGCATATACTTGCAAGGTATTTGCTGTAGGTGATGCAGCAAACAGCTAAGCTCAGAATGCACTCTTTCTGTTGCTCGATGAGAGTTGCTGGCGCATGTTTACCAGAAAGGTTGAAAGAATCTTCCTCAGAAAGCTGGAAAGCCTGAAATATTGCTGGACCAAGCCAACTGAAATCTATGGGGTTCTTTATCTTTTCCAGGCAGGGTAAGCCTTGGGCTAAAAATGGCCAGCACTGCAACGATAAAGATAACAAGGGCTTGCCAAACTTCTCACAAGTTGATCTGAATTGATTGTACCGCACAGAATCATGTTTTGCCGAATTTGTTGAACATGAAGCAAAGCTGAAGATAGCTTCAGGCATGTTTTTCCTTGTTTCTCCCTTAATACATTCAGCAAAATCTAATATGGACTGTCCAGTGCTTAGCAAAAAATGCGACAGAAGGGTCACAAAGGAACATTCAGATAAAAACAAGTGATGTGTAGCCCCTGCAAGAACTATTGAATAAGCTGCTGCAGCTTTGGTCATTCTGAAAATGAAATCACAATTTTCTCCATGCAAATTATCAGTGCTTGATTTGAAGGCACTGCACCGGTATGCAGAGGCAAGTATCATGAAACTGCTGACACTGATATGGTGTAGGGGGTGTAGTATGTATTTCCTTGGTGAAAGTTCCTCTTGCTGCAAATCATTCATCAAGTTTTCTGAAAGCATGCTTTCAATTACATCACAGCAAGCTTTAGAGTCATCAAGGAATGAGTATTCAGATATTGCCTGTTGTAAGTTATTGTCCAAATCCTCAATTGCTGGGTCTGTAACAGCATTATGTGGCGATTTCAAGTTCCTAGCATCACACTGATCAGCACAGACATGTCAGCATGAAGAAAGTATTAGCTTGTTTTTATTAATTTTTAGAAGACAAGAAACATTTTGCTAGCATGAATGCATAAAATCGACTAGAAATTGTTGATATTATTGACTTGTGAACTTGTGGTTTATTCGTTCAACAGTTCAACTAATGTTGGGTGAGATTTATCTAGAAGTTGAAATGCATAAGTTCAATTCAAAAGGATGGTACAAAAGACAGAGTAGCAAAGCAGTGAAATGTCCCTAACAATTCTCAGAACGTTGTACGATATTGGCAGGTGAATAAACTTGTAATGATAAACTTAAATTTGTGAAATAAAGTGCATGGCGAATTACTGACAGTATTTTCTTCAGAGTTTGAATCTTACATTCAGAATAAGATCCACATATGGTTTTGGTAGTGCAGTACAAAGCTCGCAAGAACAAATGAATTTATACTTTGACCACAGATCTGAAAGCCTTGCTTCCTGGAAAGGTTAGTTACGAGTGTGGCGACAATATCACAGTAGGGGAAAAGGTCAGAAACTACTAGTGCAAATAGATAAGAAAACAAGGCTTTCTTTTTTAACATCACAAAATATAATGGACCTTAATTAATCAAACACTCATAACATTAGCTGAATATTTCATTGAGTCAATCAGCATGCATCAATTGATCATCAATGAGAAAAACTGGTAATGCTGTACATCAACCTATGCTAAGATGTTGAAATATAAATGTGTAACCTACATGCACTATTGCACTCCGCTATGGGCATATGGGATTAAGATCCAAGAAAGCAATATGCGAAAATTAGATTGGATGGTTTTCCTCAGGTTAGTTTGTTCCATTAAGTTAGAAATATATCCTAGGGGTTAACCAAATGATCCCTATAAAAGGGATGCAATATACTTAATTGACCTAAGCAAAATAATAGTATCAGTCTCTAGTCTCTTCCTCTCTGTCAACCATCCCACTCTGTTCATACAGTGTCCTACCCTTGGTCCTTGGACTTAGCAAAGAGTGCCTTACCCTCAGTCCTTGGACCTTTACCAAGCCAATTCTGTAACAGTACTTTACAATCTGCAAATGCAAACTAAAGTAGGTGCACATAAAATTACATTTTCTACAGTTCTCTAACCTTAAACAGGAAAATCTTGTGATGTAAAGACTAAACATTTGGTGTCCCAGGGAATACAGTAGCAAACAAATTACAAAAGCATGGAACAAGCAAACCTTGGTTTGATTCTCCAAAGCTATTAAATGATACACTTCTATTGTGAAACACTGGAACTGTTGGGTGAAAGGAAAACAGTACCCTTGTCTGAAGAAGATCAATGTATGTTATGAAAACTTCATCTCCCTTGTTGATTGGCTTTGTGCAGCGAACAACAACTCGTGGACCATATTTACATTGAGCTGAAGATAGAGATGGTACAAGCTTAAAATGAAGCTTTTAGAAGTTCCAGAATCAAAATAACATGTATAAAAAAGTACCATGAGCAAAACCAGCTTCTTCATTCTGCCAAGCATGCCACTGCAACCAATACAGAGTCCAATAACTCACTCTACAGTGTGTAATAGATACCTCCAAATGATGCAAGCAAAAGTTTAGTGAATACTAAATAAAACCATCAGTTAAACTCCATTACCGCATCTGGCGCAGCTCCTTTGCTAACAGGAACTACACATGATTCTGGTTTGTTTGAAGTACACCCTTCATTCTGTGGAACCAATACAAATCGGTAAGAAGCACTGGGACAGCAACTATGATTGAACCATGAGAAACTAGGGCCATAAACAGCAATCCCCAGAGACTGCTCTTCGCTAATCTGCACCTCAACACTATTTGTCATCACTGCCCACAATGCCACCTTCTCTATCGTCAAGCCATTGGAGAGACCAACATAGTTCTTCATCCTCGATTTTCTGGCAGACAACATCAACAAACTCCCCTCCAGCACCCCCTCGGCAATCTCCCCACCCTCCTCCAGAACCTCCCTAATACCACTTGCAGAAAGCCCGCCGATCCTATTGGAGCTGCTGACCGAATCAGATGAAACAAGACCACGCGTCTCAAGCGAATAGAGAAGGCGGAGAGCAGCACGGATATCGCTCGTTTCTTCGGTAAGAGTGGATGGGGAGGCTTCCCTGAGATGTTTCACAAAGAAGCAACATTCACCAGAAGATGAATGCACTTCACAGTCCGAGATCAAGCAGTCCGAGCAGCAATATCGAACAGAACCGCACATCGTGCAAGACATGTCGTGGGGGGATTGAGCCGGTATGCGGTGGAAGCATGACGAACAGTGGGACTGGAGCGACGCATCGTGCAGGGCAGTAGCATAAGGCGCAATGGCCTGAGTTAGGTCCTCCGACATGTTCACAGATTCCCGGGCTCTCATCCCCATTGCCATTTTGTCAGGTCCTCCTGCAGCGAAAGTTTTATTTTGCACAAAATTAAAATCAGGAATAAGCAAAGGTTAATGTTTGTAGTGTCATTATTGCAAATCTCCCGGAATAACAAGATTACCCAATACTAATCAAAATTGAAAAGGGATTTCCCCTCTGCTTAATCTATCGAATTATCCGGGTCTAAATTCAGCATTCTGACGGCTTACACCCCTACGACCTTTTTGCCCCCAAACTTAACTTATTACTACAACCTTACCAGAAACTCCTCAACAAATCTACCCCTGCCTAACCAGTTCATTTCATGGCGGGATTTTTCCTTTTAGAGCAACACGGAAGAGAACCAAACCAAACCAAACCAGCCTAGTTAGTTAGTAGCTCTAGTTAACATATCACGAGTGCTTGAGACGGCGAGGGGTCTGCTCACCTTGAAGCCGCGTCCCCGCAGCAGGGTCGTAGGACGGGGCGGCGGCACCGCAACCGCGCCAGAAGAGAGGGGAGCGAGGCGGCGGCGGCGTGCGTGCCGGCAACGGAGACGACGAGACGAGAGGGGGGTGTGCTTTGGCTTGCCTGGGCTGGGTGGCTGGGCCCTACAATTCGATGGCCTCGTTGACCTCCCTTGACTGAGAAAACGTGCACCGTCCGATGCAAGAGGGACGAACAAGGGGGTTAAAAAAAACCTGTTTATTAAATTGTAGTTTATTTTTTCTTTTAAATTTTGTACTACCAGGTAGAAAATACACTAACAAGAGGGTTTTTATGCGGGTAGCGGGACTACCTACTTACATTCCTAGGTGCAAGGCAACGTGGCGCGCATCGAAGAGCGGAGCAACTTTTAAGTATCTAAAAAGACTTTAAAAAATCATTGTAACTACGTTGTAACTATATTATAACTGCATTGTAACTATACTATAACTACGATATAATTTATACAAAACTTATATTCAACTGTGATTTGGCTAGCTAGCATCGGAATCTTATAAGTGACGTGCGATGAAAATTTTCTTTTTAACATTTTTTTCTTGTCATGCACCAATCTCGAGGTGAAAGTTTTAGGGGTAAAAAACTCGTTTAAGTTTTTTAGCAATTCCATACTAGATAAACCCTCCAACTGGCCTAGATGATAATGTAAGCCACTCCCTGAAATGAAAAATCTGCCTGAGCCTGACAGGCTGCTTCTTCTTGTTTAGCTCAACTCAAAAATGTGTTTTGAGATTATCTTTTTTTTTTACCCCACTGTTTCCCCTTTTTTCTTTTGGTTTGAATGTTACGCTGTATCTGAATCGAGATAAAAGAGCAAGGCAGAGTGGTCACATTTCAGGCATCATATGATAGAACAACCAGATTCTCCATACAGCTGCAAAAAGCTACTTTCGCCCAAAACATACGCCATCGGTCTGAAACTCTGAATCCTGTCGGCACTCACTCAGCTCAAGTTACATCTCTGTTAAAACCATGCATCCTACAACAAGCAACACTCAAGGATCTGAATCTAGAGAAACAACACTATAACCCTGGAAAAAGGGGGTTGACATTCAGAGGATTCCAAGAAAGCTAGTAGCTGAAATCACCCGTCGCTGGTTAATGTCAAGGCAAGGACAACACAGGTCAGGGTGAAAATGATCGTAGCCGCGGCGAAGGCCAGGATGGCCCTCTGAGAGACGCCCTGCTTTTCTTGGCCGGCCAGCTCAACCTCTTTCAGCAGGCCTCTGATCTCATCGACGTCCGAGTCCTTCGCCGCATGGATTAGCCTGTTATGAACCTCATCGAGTTTGGCGAGCCTTCTAGCTCGGCTGGCGTCTCTGGCAGACCAGATGAACCTCGTCATCCTCCACAGGAGTATGCCGACGTAGATCGCCACGACACAATCCACGGTGTAGTGATGGCGTTCTCGTATCTCCCTTTGCGCGCTATGCAGGACAAGAAGCCATATTGCGACGGAGATCCAGCCCCCGTATGCTTCCTAAGAGCGTGAGACAGATTCAAAAGGAGTTCACAACTTCAGATGACATCAATTGTAAGTATCTCTATTCTCTAACACAGCGCTGTTGCAAAAGAAAAGGGCATAGTTGTATTGATGAAGGGTGGTTCTAATAAGTACAAGTAACTCATTTCCAGCTTCCAACAAAACAGCACATATAGAGATTTTGATGTTGTAACAGGGAAAAGGTGAAAGTATGACATACCGTCCACGCCATTGCAGTAAGAACAGCAACAAGCATGTGCCCACTGTACATAAGATCATTGCAACCACCACTAGCTTTCTTCAGTAGATGGTACCATGAAGGTCCCTCTCCAGGAGTTGGCCTCAAAATGTCTACTAGGAAGCTCATTCGACCCCAGTCAGGCCTATACTCACCAGGGTAAGATTGAACAGCAGCTGTAAAAGGGAGGACGATAATTTAGTTTTCTCAATTTCACAACACTAAAATATTAATTAGGTGATAGCCAAATGTACTAACCATAGGCCACATCATCTCGTATGACCCTACGGATAGCATCTGAGTCTGAAGCATATGGAACATAATATTTTTGTGCCCAAGGATGAGGATGGCCGGGTATTTGATACCGAGCTGCAGCACACCATGGTCTTGCAGATGGAAGAATTGTGGCCACAAACGTCATCGTCCGAAGCAAACGACCAATTGCCATAGTGAACATATATCTTGTGGCTATTCCAAGACCAGGAGCTTTGATGCAGCCAAAGAGCACTGAGAAACCCAGCATGATAAACAACATCAAGTAATGGTGAAGAGTGATAACATGGGCTCTCAGTAGATCAACCACACTTTGAGGAAGCTTCTCGTTCAATGCTAGAAGCAGCCATTGCCCAGTGTCAGGAAGTGGAGCAGCAGATCTGTTAAAACAGTAGAACAGACTTCAGTTTACAAGTAATTGTGAGGATTTCGATGCTTCCACATGAGAATTTGTCTGAGCATGGATGTGAGCAGATGGCAATAAATTACTTGAAGAAAGGTACATATGGTAAGTGGTAATGTTATATGGAAAGGCACTATTGTTCTTGAAAGTGAAAATTAACTCTGAATGGGCCATAATCCAGTTTATAAATATATAAAGTTTGTCTTCACAAAATATTGTAGTCTTATAGCTAGCTGAAATTCACAGGAATTATGAACTTGTTGTCAATTTGCATTCAGGAGACCATAGGACTAGATGCAGTCAAATGTTAGATTTGTCTTCTCAATCAAGTCGAGAGAGGAATCACAAATAGATCAGGAGTACATGTCCAAAGTACGTACAGACGCTTGGCTTTCTTGCCCAGTGAACTTCTAGATGGCCCTTTATTCCAGAAGGGCATCGATTCCTTACTTGAACTGTAATCTTACAAACGGCAATTACCATTTAAAGCTTTTTCATTCGACTGCACCTACCAAACACTATAAACTTGATCTTTATTCCAAAGTTGAAAAGGCAATATGTTAAAAACCACAAAAGAATAGCGAGGACACAACAAACAAGCCATTGGATTATGGAGAAGCTGAACCCCTTGAGATCACGACTAGGTTAACCAAAATGGAGCATTTGTGTCACAATCTCACAATATCATCTCACCGGAACTAATCTGTCTACTCCAGAAACAAGAATCGGTAACAAAAATCACCCTGCACGACAAACTGGAAGTTTTTAACCAATTACACAGACGTTTCTCTCTAAGCAAACAGCTTTCTGCTTTGAACTGATTTATACTTTCTTCATTCCTCATACCTAAAATTAACTATTTAAAATTCCACAAAGTGTAATATATGGAAATTTATAAAACTCTCCTATGCTCAAATTTCACCCGAATTAATAAGCAATAAAATCTGCTAATAAAAATGTGCACTCCTACCAGCAAATCTCTGCTAGATCACACCATAAAATCCTTCCACAATCAAAGAGCTTAAATCTTCCCCCAAGATCCAAATTAAAAAATATGCAATAAATAGCTATTAAAGAGCTTAATAAATCTCCCCCAAGATCCATGGCATCTTTGACCCCGGGCACCGAATAATCCGTCAGCTCCATAGCTCCGGAGAAGTGCACTGACCTGTGCCACTGGAGCCCCATCACGGCGGAGACGAAGCGGACGGAGACGGCCTCGCAGAGGAAGGCCCCGAGCATGAAGGCGATGGAGCCGAGAAAGGGCAGCGCGGCGCGGAGCTCGGCGGACCAGTGGCGGTAGAACGGCGCCCGCGCCGCGGCGGCGAGCGCCAGCGCCGCCCACAGCGCCGGCATCAGCCGCCCGTGCCACGCCGGGGAGAGGTACCGCAGGTAGTCCACCCCGACGTACGCCGCCGCCGCGACGCCCAGCCCGCCGCCGGCCCCGGCGAGGAGCCGCCGGAGGCTCGCCGCCAGCCCGCGCGGCGGCCTCGGCCTCGGCCTCGGCGCCTTCCCCCTCGCCGCCCTCGCCATGGTGGCGTCTCCGCGAGACGGCGAGAGCTTCACTTGGTCATGGACTGCGAAATGGAGTGAGGTCAGCTCGAGGGAAGCTGGGAGATCCGGGCTACTTTGGGCTAGGTTGCAGGTGATGTTTGAACCGTCCGATCAAAAATATACGGTCCAGATTGATGGGTGAGGCGCTATCATCTCCATCGGGAGAACCAGGTTGTATAGCATAGGAATAAGTCTATTACATATCCTCTGTCTTTCTCCTAATTGAATCGCCTCCATCAACCGCAAAACCAAATATAATGTCTCTCCTTTCTTCAGAAACGGTTGCAAACCAACTCCTTTTGTAGTTTGGGAAGCGATTTCTACTGATGTGGCAGGTTTTGACCATGGTCGACTTCACTTAGTCAGTAGTGAAACTCACATATCAACGACTCTCCTCTCTTCTACTCATCTCTCTTCTCTTTTCCCATCTTTCCTCCTAGACCGGTGGCACAAATCCCGCCGAGAGAGCACGGCCATGGTAGTTGTGGGCTGATGGAGCAGGAACTTGATGTGCATTACCACCGTACCACGAGGAGTTCGTGGCCCTGAAGCTCTAGTATGGACTCTATCGATGGCAACAGCTCCAATGCCGCGTCTACTAGGCCAAGGGCCGACATGCCAGCCATGGTGTTTCCATGACCTTGAACATCTCAAGCTACTCTATGACGTCGTGCTATGGGACAGAAAGTTTCTAGGTCTGAGGTGGCGTCCGCATACCTTGCGCTTGTGCACCGCAAGCTTGCCGTGTCATCGCTTGCGAGGCATGTAACATCAATTACCCGTGCTCTCCTCCATAAGATTTGTGTCACCGGTCTCAGTGGAGAGATGGAAAAAAGAGGAGAGGGAAGAGGAAGAGAGGAGAGTCACTGACATGTGGGTCCCACCTGCTTACTCAGCAAAGTCAACCATGGTCAACCTGTCCCATTAGCGGAAATTGCTTCCCAAACCACAAAGGAGTTGATTTACACCGGTTTCGAAGATGGAGAGGACGTTATACCCAGTTTTGTAGTTGAGGGAGACGATTTAATCTGGAGCAAGAGATGAGAGAGGTAAAATAGACTTACTCCTATACATACAACCAGGCAGGCTGGATCGGGCCAGGCCCAATATATGGCCCAATGCGACCCAATGACCTATACATCTCTCTACTATCTCACATGCAGCGATGCAGAGTCACGCATCCTGCCAAATGCATAGGTAGAAAGGACGATCAATTCAGGGTTAAAAAAATAGTGCAATGTTTATAAACTCTTTAATTACTTTTTTTCAGTCATTATCTAAAAAAATACTAATTTTCAGTAGAAGGTACGTAAGGGGAATATATTTTGGAAGGAGTGGCTATAGCTAGTACTAGCTTTTAGGTGCCAATTATAAGCTAATTAAGAAGATGCACACATTTTCGATTAGCCGAGTGCCTTTATAATTAACTACCGCTGTTTGCTTCTGCATACGTGTACCCGATCGATCGAAGCAGCTGAGTCCAACATGCGAAGTGCAGAGGTTGTACTTGCCCCCTTGCAAAAAAAAAAAAAAGAAAAAAAGAAGAAGAAGCCTCTAATGGAGGAGGTGAGCATGCATGCGGATCGAGCTGGAAAGCGCCATTACCGGCTCCCTCAAACTCCTTAATCTACCATTATCATCTCGTGATCTCACCTCTCCCATCATTCTTCTTCGTGTTTGCATCCTATAAATTGCTAGTCACTCTCCTTGATTCCTCACTCAACTCAGCCACAAGTATAGCTAATCAAGCTAGCTAAGCTAAGCTAAGTTAGTATAGTGTGATACCTCTTGTGAAGGTAGAGAGATCAATGGCGGCGACATTGCGTTGGGGCGGCGGCGGGCTCGCGGTGGCGGCGTTTGCGGCGGTGGTCGCGTTGTCCGGCCTCCTCGGCGTCGCGGCGAACTACGGCGGCGGCGGCGGGTTCTTGTTCCCGCAGTTCTATCAGCACACGTGCCCGCAGATGGAGGCGGTGGTGGGCGGCATCGTGGCGAGGGCGCACGCCGAGGACCCGCGCATGGCGGCGTCGCTGCTGCGGATGCACTTCCACGACTGCTTCGTGCAGGGGTGCGACGCGTCGGTGCTGCTCGACGCCGACGGCAGCGGGCGGTTCGCCACGGAGAAGCGGTCCAACCCCAACCGCGACTCGCTGCGCGGGTACGAGGTGATCGACGAGATCAAGGCCGCCCTGGAGCACGCGTGCCCGCGCACCGTCTCCTGCGCCGACATCGTCGCCGTCGCCGCCAGGGACTCCACCGCGCTCACCGGCGGGCCGTGGTGGGAGGTGCCCCTCGGCAGGCGGGACTCGCTGACGGCCAGCCTGAGCGGCTCCAACAACCTCATCCCGGCGCCCAACGACACGCTCCCCACCATCGTCGGCAAGTTCCGCAACCAGGGCCTCGACGTCGTCGACCTCGTCGCGCTCTCCGGCGGCCACACCATCGGCAACTCCCGGTGCGTCAGCTTCCGCCAGAGGCTGTACGGCCAGCTGAACAGCGACGGGAAGCCGGACTTCACCCTGAACCCGGCGTACGCGGCGGAGCTCCGGGAGCGGTGCCCGAGCTCCGGCGGCGACCAGAACCTGTTCGCGCTGGACCCGGCCAGCCAGTTCCGGTTCGACAATCAGTACTACCGCAACATCCTCGCCATGAACGGCCTCCTCAGCTCCGACGAGGTGCTCCTCACCAAGAGCCGGGAGACGATGGAGCTCGTCCACCGCTACGCCGCCAGCAACGAGCTCTTCTTCGCGCAGTTCGCCAAGTCCATGGTCAAGATGGGCAGCATCTCCCCGCTCACCGGCCACAACGGCGAGATCAGGATGAACTGCAGGAGGGTCAACCACTTCTAGAACCCTTCCACGTACGTACGGCGCCCACGGCCGATCGATGTGATGTGATGTGATCCTATTTGCTTCTTTGTGTTTTGCATGTTGATTTTATGATTTGTGTTTTGTATTTTGCTTTGCTTTGCTGCTCGCTTAATTGTTCATATTAGTTTTTTCATGTGTGTAATTCCTCCTGCAAATGTATCAAGGAATGGTCTAATAAAAGTCCATATACCAATTTGTTTCTGTCACCTGTTTAACCTTCAAATGTTCGCCCTGTGAAAAGCTTTCAAAATGTTCCCAAGTTCCAAACCTTCAAATTTTCTCAGGGCCCTTTTGGTTATAGCCCAATAAATAGCCCATTACAGCCCAAGAGAAAAACAGCCGTAGTCCCACCTTGTCTCTTCTCCCCTCGTGTGTCTCACGCAACACGCACGAGAGCGCCGCCCTCTCATTATCTTCTCACGCTCTCGCACATCGACGACTCCCGGGCGGGCTCAGCCCAATTCAAGGGTATTCAGATGAATACCCAAGATTTCTGAAAAAAAAATACATATATAAGATATATATTTTATATGTACTATATGGGAAAATATAGAAAAGGAACTACTTGATAGAAGAAGCCCAATCAAAAAGCCTGGCAGGCTGGTTCCCTCTTCCCACCTTCCTCATCTCCTCATTTTGCAGGCCCAATAGCCAAAACGAAGGCCCAAAATCAAGTAACCCTAGACCACTTCGGCACCTCCTGCCTTCGAACGCGCAGCGCACAGAAGCGAGAAAATGGACATTTAGCCACTTTCAAAAAACTGTTTCGCTGGAATGCCATCCCGAAAACGCGTTTCGCTAAAATGCCAATATGAAGCGCGCACTCACCGTGTAGGATCGAATCACAACAACTAAGGCAACTAGAGGGGGGTGAATGGTTGGTATACCCAAAAACCGAAAACTTTTAGCGGAAATAAAAGTTACCCTCGAAATCAATGGAGATCAGTATGACCGGAGTAGATTAGCCGGTCTGACCGAAGCGTAGCCGCCGGTCTGACCGGTGAGATATGCTCCTGACGCCTGTCGCCAACGCCGGTCTGACCGCCGTGTACCCGCTGGTCTGACCGCCGCGATGCCGCCGGTCTGACCGCCGGTGTGTCGCCGGTTAGACCGTCGAAACCCGGTGAAACACAAATCGAAGAACTCTTAAAGTAGATGGTGACTTTATTGATTCTCTCTGTGTTTACAAAGTGCACCAACAACACTCCTTACAAAAAATTTCGACTAAACTCGAAACCTAACTCAAAACTCAACTCAATTGCTCTCAAAAGCGATACCGGGAAGCCTTATGCTCCCCCTCTATTTATACCCGAGGTAGGCAGCCTAAAGCCATGAACCAAACTCATACTAGAAGTCCTAAACACCTTAGGAAACCCTCTAGTACAAGACACAAACGTTACATAACCAATCATACTAAATTTGGACTCCTTCCAAATTCGACTCCGCATCCCATACGCACATAATACCTCCATCGTATGCCATATGGAATCTCCATCAACCACGTGCATCAACTCTAGCCTTAGTATCCCGCATGATCTCTGACCACCACGAACGTCGTCTTATCCCCAAGCCAGCTCCCGGTCCATCACCGCAAATACTCTCCCGAGGCATCGAGTCACCTACACATGAAATAAACAAAGAAACCATATTCCGAGACCAAGCTATCTCCAACTTGACTCATTAGTAGCAAACAACAGTATTACATACGTATAGTATCCATCTAGAAGACATAATCATGAAACAATCACGGATATCCAAACAAACAAGTCGAAACCGAAACCGACACAGAGTCGGCCGGTCAGACCGTGGGCTGCGCCGGTCTGACAGCGCAATACACGCCGATCTGACCGGCACACCCTGTCCGGTCTGACCGGTCCACATAAAATAACAACAGTACTTGTAGATTCACCTGTGAAATCCAATCATCTCCAAAACCACTTCGAAAATAAATTCCAAATAACAAAACCAATAATCTCCAATGCCAATTGTTCATCACAGAATAATAATCAAAAGCACCTTTGATTTTACACACCGCCACTTTGCCATATTGGCTATTTTGTGCATTTTCACTGGAATGCGGCTTGATGAGACCAAATTGCCCTTGCTCACCGGTTGCAAGGGGATCGATCCAGTTCATGGGAGGAAGAGGACGAGTGCGGCGAGGTGGTCCGCGTGGCCGAAATGGAGGAGGCGGCGAGCGAAAACATGGCAGCGGCGGCGACGATGGCGACGCGGGCATGGCGATGTCGCAACGAAGGGATACGCACGGCCTCCACGCCGACGACGATGACGTCATGTCCTCTGGCGTCTCCACCGCCGCCCTGTCAAGGCACGCGAACTGCTTGGTGTGCTCCAGCTTGTGGCTGCCCTTGATGCTGGACTCGTGCAGCCGCGACCTGTCGGCGGGGACCTCCACACTCCACTTCCTCGCCGACACGACGAGCATCTGCGCGATCCTCGTCAACGGGCTGCCACCGGGGCGCTGGTGCCTACACAGCGGCGTGCTGACGAAGAAGTTGACGACGACGATGGCCATGATGTCATTGAACCCCCGACGAAGAAGCCGACGACGGCTACCGTCGGCGGCTGCCCCTCGGCACCCTCCTGTGCTAGCGCCGTTCCAGGGTCCCCGGTCTCCATCGCCACCAGGGGGAGGGCCGCCGCCGCCATCCTCCTCTGCTCCCTTCTCCGCCGCCCGGATGTCGTCGTCGCCTTCGTTCGCCATGCCGGACGCCGTTTCTCGGAGACCGGGGGGATGAGCGCCCGCCCTGGAGGGCCTTGCCGCTAGAGCCGGGTGCTTGCGCCCGTCGCCGACTGGCGTGCCGGCCATCATCCGCGAGCCAAGACGGCTCGGGCTGCGCCCCGCTTGATCTATGCCGCTTGGGTCGCCGCGATGCACTGGCGTTGTGTCCCTTGCTCACCGCGCTCACGACACATCGGAAGGGCAATTTCGTCTCATCATCCGGTGGAGGAGCGAAAATGATTTCGAAAATGCACAAAATGGCCAAAATGGCAAAGTGGCGGTGAGTGCGCGCTTTATATTGGTATTTTAGTGAAACAAGTTTTCGGGATGGTATTCCAGCGAAACCGCTTTTTGAAAGTGGCTAAATGTCCATTTTCTCCACAGAAGCAGAAGCGCGTCACGCACGAGCGGTGCACAGATGCCGTCGAGGCATCGCCCTCGCCCTCTCCTCTCGTCCTCTCCCCTTGGCTGGTTGGCCCGGTGCCCCTGTTGGTCGCACTGCAGCGCCTGCGCCCCACCGCCCTTTGCAAGCTACCTCGCCGAGTAGTTCTGATTCGATTCAATCGATTGCCAGAGGCAAGCTATCCAATCCTCACTTTCCAATTTGTTAAATGTGAAGTTTGAATCGCACATTTGTTAGATTGTTGCCTGTTGAACTGCTTAAGTGGTCCATAATATAAGAGAAAATTTGAACCCAATTTGTTGTCTAATTCTTGTAGACTGGACAAGTATACACCAAATTTTAACTCAAGAGAGCTGTACTTTGTTTATTGTAGTGAATGGCTGCCTAATTTTGTGCATTAACCATGGTGTGATGGCGTGATGTTGATGGATTCGTGGATATATACTTAATCTGTAGATTGTAGTGCATATATTTTTCACAAAGTATCACAATAATAACTCAATAAGTAGCACTGTACCATATTGTTGATTATTTTTTTAATCTGAAACATGAAGAGGAAAAATGATCCCGCTATTTTTAGAAAAAAATGGTACTTAAATACCATATTTTAAGATTTTTTTTATCATATTTGATATGTTGAACGATTGTCAATCAGTAGTTTAGTACTTCCATATGTTAAACACATTAAATTTATGGCCAATTCTGCTTATATCAGTTATATATATTATACAACTATTAGTTAGAACGATATGAAATTATAGATATCAAATGTTAGGCGTTGGGTTGAATTTTGTTTTACTTCTTCCTATTTCGAATACCCAACCTTAAAATCCTAGGCCAGCCACGCTTTTTCGGAACCATAAAACTATATTTGTATTGCTGTTTAAATTTTCTTTTTGTAAATTTGTATTATTACTATATTGTGTCATCATTTAACTAAATTTGTTCTAGCATATATAGATTTTGTGGTGTTCGAAAATTTTAGTATGTGAAGTGAACTCTAAAGTAGGACTACCCGACGATAAAATTCTGGCTACGCTACTATCTTACAATTATTCCATGTATCATGGTGATAGAGTTTCACAAAACCATACTGATACACTTTTGACCTATTGTTGTTTGATTCACCATTCTTACAACTTCTATTGTAGCCAAATATTTGCCTTCTACAAATATGCTATAAGTCCAGCTTGGCTTGGCTTGTTAAGCTCGCGAGCCACAGTTTAGCAATTGGCACAAACGGTATGCTGAAGATGCTAAGACTAGGGGCAGGTGGCACTGTAGAATGGAATGGGGAGAACACCACATGTACACACCCAATGGGAGGGGTGGCCATGTATTAATATAGGAAGCACATGTACAGGATCCTCAATTAGAGGAGAATACAAGAAAAGAAACAATACAATACAATCTGTACATATATGGCAAAGTATTCCTAATACCCGCTCGCAGTCGCAGCGGGAGGATCACGAACGCAAAGGCTGGATCGAAAATCTGTAAATAACTGCACAGGCAAGCCCTTGGTCATGAAATCGGGGAACTGATGCGTAGACGGAACATGGAGCACACGGACCTGTCCCAGAGCCACCTTTTCCCGAACAAAGTGGATGTCAATCTCAATGTGCTTGGTGCAGCGGTGGTGAACCGGGTTGGCGGTCATGTAGGCAGCACTGACGTTGTCGCAAAAGACAACGGTCGTGGTGGAGATGGGAGCATGCAACTCCTGGAGTAGCTGGCGGAGGCAACAGCACTCGGCAATCGCGTGAGCGACGGCACGATACTCCGCTTCGGCACTGGAGCGGGAGACCGTCGTCTGTCGCTTGGAGGACCAAGACACCAGGTTATCGCCGAGGAAGATGCAGTAGCCTGAGGTGGAGCGACGAGAGTCGGGGCAGCCGGCCCAGTCTGCGTCGGAGTAGGCGGTCAGAGACCCGACCGGACCGGTGCCGATGTGGAGGCCGGCGGAGAGTGATCCCTTGATGTAGCGCATGATGCGTTTAACCAAGGCGAGGTGAGGCTCATGAGGGTCATGCATAAAACGACACACCTGTTGAACGGCA